CGTTTTCATGTAAACTACCATACGGTCATTTTTGGCTGCATATTCTCCCTTCAATTGGTTGATGACTAGCTTTGAGTAGCAGAAGATAAGCAGACGCCGAGCACCAAGGAGATGTGCATTCCGCAAGCCAGTTAACAACACTTCGTATTCAACCTCATTGTTCGATGCTTCGAAGCCGAGTTTGACAGCCTGCTCGATTATTGCTCCATCGGGAGCTATGATCACTACTCTCATTGCTACGTTGGTTGGATGATCCGTCACAATACAACTACTAAATGTCCCCCACATAAATTCTCCAGTTCAGCTTAGGTTGAATTTGGTCAGACTTAAAGTCCGCAGGGCATCCAGTGAATTCGACCACAAAATCGGTGAGCACTTGCCCCTTGATTGAGGTTTTGGGCAGAAATTGAATATCATACTGGCCGAGTTCGAGAGCCCATTTTGAAACGCGCCCTGATGCTTCTGCACTACGAAGTACTGACCGGAGGGGGTAGTCTGTTAGCACCCCAATGGTATGCCCCTGAAAATAATGCATTAGTTTTCTTGCTACTGTGGCGAGAGCCAGGATGAGTTTTTCCAACGGAAGGTAGCGTGTTCCAGCGTCAACCATTGCTTTGCTCACTTAATGAACTGGCCGCTGCTCCCCAAGTTCTTCTTTCAACAGTACGGCGCTGACGGCCCGATCAAAAACTGCCAGATATAAAATGAGCAGATCACCTGCCGAAGGTGTTATTGAGAGCGGAACTGTCCGGAGGTAAGTCTTCAGACCTCTAAAGCGGCTTCGTACTCAGAGGTCAATTCAAAAGCTTTACCCTGCCAAAGAGTATGAAAGAATTGCCGGCAGCGATCTGTGGAACGACTGATGAATCTGTTGAGTGCAGCGTCCATTCCCATCAGCTTCTGAACCTTTTTGACCGACCAAGGAGAGCCGAGTTCTAGAATTACAGTGATTTGTCTCGGGTTGGCTTCGATTCTGCAGTGGTAAACAATGTAGCCAAGGAATTTACCGGATCCAATGCCGAAGGCATATTTGGAAGCGTTCAGTTTCATTTTGTATTTGCGAAGAATGCCGAATGTCTCTTCCAGATCAGCTAAATGAGTTGGCTCTTCTTTGGACTTGACCACCATATCATCGATGTACACTTCCATAGCAATAGGTTCCTTTTGGGCTGAGGAATGAGTTTTGTTTTGGTCTTTCGGATGCATGGCAATCTAATGGTAGCCCCTGTATGCATCCAGGAAGCTCATACGTTGATGATGTGCCGTTGCATCTACAAGTTGATCAATTCTGGGGAGGGAAAAACAATCTTTGGAACAAGCTTTCTTCAGGTCTGTGAAATCCACACAAACATGCCAAGTTCCATTCTTCTTCTTTACAACCACAGTATTTGACAGCCATGTGGGATAGCTCACTTCATGGATTGCCCCGGCATCAAGCAACCGATCAACTTCTTCAACAACGACAGTGGTATGCTCCGCGGTTGACTGCCAGCTCTTCTGAACAATTGGCTTACATTTTGGATAGACGTTTAAGCGGTGCTACGACATGGATGGATCTACCCCCGACATCTCATATGGTGACCATGCAAACACGTCGAGATTACTGAGTAGGAAGAATATTAGCTCTTGCCTATCGGCTTTACTTAGGGAAGCGCCAACCATAAAGAACTTGTCAAGATTCCCGTCGATTTCAACCCGATCCAGAGCTTCGGTCGCCTTTTCACTGGGAAGCCGCCCAACGTCATCGAGGCTCTCCTGATATGGCACCTCAATTGAATTTACCTCTAGCTCTCCCGATGTCTTTGCAGTGAGAAAATAACAAGCCTACGCCGACTACTAGGAACCTTGAATTTGCTCTATGCCATGTTCAGTTGGAAAGCGAAGTAGTTGATGATAGGTGCTCAGCACGACCTACATGGAATACAACTAGGTTCGTCCCATAATGAGATTATATGGCAAAAGAAGCTTGACAACCAGAAATTCGACGTCCAATGATCGGGAACCCACCCGAACTGGCAGTGTAATTTTACCCAAAGGATATTTCGAATTAGCGTTGAAGCCGAATAATGGGTAGTCAGCTAGAGATAGGTTCGACTTAGTGAAGCCGAGTTGAACAAAGGTCTTGTAGTACATTATTTTTGAAGTACTTCCCTGGTCAATGAGCGCATGTTCAATGGTGAATCAGTTTACGTATAGTTCAATGACTAAGGGATCAATGTGGGGGAGCGTCACGCCGACCAGATCAGAATCATCAAAACTAATATTCCTGGCTTTATGGGCCCGTTTCGCTGGTGTGATCTGCTTTTGGGGGTTCAGCTGCAACTGAATTGTATGTACCACAGATGCTGCCGACAAACTATATATCATATGAATTGTGTTGAGGAGAGGTGAATCCTGCTGCAAAGCTACTGTTTTTATTAAGTCGTTCTTTCGGACGTGTTGCGTTAGCCGACCATCTTGCACCAACTCTTCAAGGTGGTCCTTCAAGGCATAACAACTGTCAGTGTCATGATCGTGGTCTTTGTGATATTCGCACCGCTTATCCCGTCTCCTTGTGTCGGGAGGTCTCACCATTTTAGGCGGCCATTTAAAGAACGACAGGTGTTGAACTTTAGACGTAACCGTATTGATCAGCTCCAATAATTTTGTGTATCTCATGTCCGTGCGCCTTGTGCGCCTGCTATCCACTTAAAGCTGCTCATTAGCCCGATGCGAACATTGGTTATTTGCTCGGCACGAATCCCGTCGTCTATCTCGCTTAGCCCGATTACATGATTTAGGGCTTCGTGGTGGTACAACATTTACTGGCTGCCCAACTTTGACCCGTATGGCATCGTCTTCCACTTTGCAATAGTCTTCGACTTTTTTCATCAATGACCAGACTGTTTTTGGGGGCCATTTGGTTAAGGAGCTGCGGAGGTCACTATCAGGATGCAACCCCATCTTGAAGGCGGTAATGGCCATGGAGTCATTGCAGGAATCATCTACTAGATTAAAACATTCCCAATAGCGCGCCGAATACGCTCGTAAGGTTTCCCCTTGTTGGATTTTCATTGCCCAGAGAGAATCGGCTTGCTTCGGCTGGACCTCATTGGTGATGAACCTTGCCCTGAAGGATTTCTGGAGTTGATGGAAGCTCTTAATCGATGCCGGTTCCAGTTTATAATACCATCTGACAGCTAATGGTCCCAAACTACTCAGAAATATTCGGCACATAAGGGCATCGTCGTCTGCATACAACGTCATGGCTTGCTTATAATGACGGATGTGATCGGTGGGATCCGATTTTTCATCGTACAGGGTGAACAATGGAGCTTTGAACTTCTTGGGTAGTACTGCCCTTGCGATCCATTGCACAAAGGGGTCATGTTGGTCCTCTTCATCTGAATCATTTCTTCGTCGCTTATTCTGTGCACGCGGACTCCCTTTGGAGGAACTGAAGGTTTCGACTCGTCCTTTCTTTTTTGGATTCTGGGGAGGATGAGTCAGAATCACTATCACTATCTTGTTTCTGAACTCGAGATCATCGACCATCCTTTCTCTGAGGTCGTCCCGGATCTCGGCGTGCCGCTTGTTGGGATTTTGCCACTTCCAAGGCCAAATATTGTCGAAGGTGCTCATTCTTAGCGATCATGTTTTCCAACCTCTGTTCGTTTTGCTTCGCTTGATCCATGATTGCTTGCATCGTCTCATGTATTGAGGTCGAGGGTGAGGGTGAGGTCTCGGCAACTGAGTCGAAGTTCAAGACACGTCGTGCGGCGATATTCTCCAGTCCCAGCATATTTCTTGGAGTGAGGTCATCTCTCGGTGTAGTTTTGTCAGCGACTACCGGAGGATCTTCTGTCACGCCCACCATGGATGTGCTTGAGTATTCTCACAGACGGCGCCAATTGTGGAGAAGTGGTTCGGAAATACTCTTTGGATCCTGTAGGACGCTCGTGATCCTCAACTAGTCACCTGAAAAGGAATGAACACTCCGGTCGGGGGTGCTGGTATTAGCACTACGACGGATAAGTCAGTGTATACTCTCTTTTTTGCTTGTAAGTTAAGTTTTTCAGTTTGTTCTCACATACCTTTTTTAGCTGATGCTTTTCTTATTTATAGTCGTCCTTGATGTTGATGGTTGGGCCCACTTTTCATCTAATGAACAATCGTAACATTCAGCTAGATCTTCATATTCAGCCCAGTTTACACCTGATATAGAGGCCGATCTGGCTATTCGGCCTCTATTCCTCAGGGTTATGAGCCGTATAGTACATAACTTGATTTCCTTCCTTCAGTCATTCGGCTAACCTACGTAGTAATCTACTCGGCCACCACAGAAATATTTTGTAACATTCATTAATGATTTTTCTAAGTACTATCATATCTATCTTTTGCATTCAAAAGATGGAGTGCTTGATAAATTCAAGATTTTTAAGACAGAAATAGAAAATCAATGTAATGTCAAAATAAAGAGACTTAGGTCTGATAGAGGTGTGAATACCACTTTTCAGAATATTGTGAAAATGCTATTATTATTCATGAGAAGTCTGCACCCTACACACCACAACAAAATGGAGTAGCTGAAAAGAAGAATAATACATTAACAGAAATGATTAATGCTATGCTTTCTTACTCCAGTTGAAGTTCTCGTTTTTGGGGTGAAGCCTTGTTCACTGCATGTCACATACTCAATATAATTCCTTTCAAGGAAAGAAATGTTACTCCTTATGAACTTTGGAAAAACAAGAAACCTAATCCAGGTTACTTGAAAACATGGGGCTCTAGAGCAATAGTCAGATTGCCTAAACCTAAAAAGAAGAAATTAGGTGAAAAAGGAATTGAATGCATATTCCTTGGCTATGCTATACATAGCAAAGCATATAGGTTTCTAGTAGTAGAGCCCAATGGTTTAGTGGAAACAAATACTATCATCACGTGATGTGGTATTTTATGAGAATCGTTTCACAACCATTCCAAAGTTGGATTCTAATCGAGGAAATGAATAAACTCCTTTGATGTCTACAGAGAAAAGTGAACGACATGAACCCATTGAGCCTAATGAACCTAATGCGCCTGTTGAGCTAAGAAGCAGTAAGAGGGATAGGATTGAGAAGTCATTTGGCCCTGATTTCATTGTTTATCTTATAGAAAGAACTAGGAAAGCTTATTGTAAGCAAACAATGATTTCTTTGAATATGGATTCTGATCCATTAGCCTTTGAGGAGGCTATGAAGTCTCAAGATGTTACTTTCTGGAAAGAAGCAATAAACGATGAGATGGAATCTATCATGGGTAACAATACCTGGATACTTGTTGATTTGCCACTTGGATCCAAACCAATTAGTTGTAAATGGATTTTCAAAAGAAAAATAAAAGTTGATGGCACAATTGCCAAGTTCAAAGCAAGATTAGTTGCTAAGGGTTTTACTCAAAAGGAGGGTATCGATTATTTTGATACATATGCTCTAGTGGCCAGAATCGCCACCATTCGAGTGTTAATTGCCTTAGCCTCAATCTACAAGCTTGAAATCCATCAAATGGATGTTAAGACCGCTTTCCTAAATAGAGAGTTAGATGAGGAAATCTACATGCGACAACCGGAAGGATTTGTTGTACAGGGTCAAGAACACAAAGTGTGTAAACTCGTGAAGTCACTATATGGACTGAAACAAGCTCCAAAATATTGACATGAGAAATTTGACAAAGTAATAGTGTCAAATGGTTTTAGGATGCACGAATCTGATAAGTGTGTGTACGGTAAGTTTACTGGCAATAGAGATGTAATCATATGCCTATATGTGGATGACATGCTTATTTTTGGTACGGATTATGATGTGTTTGAAAGTACTAAAAGTTTCTTGTCGTTTAGCTTTAGTATGAAAAACATGGGCTTGACTGATATAATTCTGGGTATTAAGATTAAACAGGAGGACAATATTTTGATTCTTACCCAATCGCACTATATTGAGAAAATTCTTAAGAAATTTAATCAATATAATTGTACACCCATGTCTACACCTTTTGATTCAAATTTGAAATTGTATCCTAATCCTAGAAGAGCTGTTGATCAGTTAGAATACTCAAGAGTGATAGGTAGCCTGATGTATGCCATGACTTGCACTAGACTTGATATTGCATTTGCAGTAGGAAAACTTAGTAGATACACTAGTAATCCCAATAGTGTGCATTGGCATGTTGTTAGTCGAATACTTAGGTACTTAAGGAAAACGATAGACTATGGAATAATCTATAATGGTTATCCATTAGTGTTGGAAGGAGTCATGGATGCTAGTTGGATAATTGACCATGAAGATCACTCGTCCACGAGTGGTTGGATTTTTACTCTTGGAGGAGGAGCTATCTCTTGGGGTTTTAAGAAGTAAACATACATAACAGACTCAACATGGCGTCAGAGTTTGTAGCATTGGCTTCTTGTAACAAAAAGGCAGAGTGGCTAAGGAATCTCTTGTTAGAGATTAAGATATGGCCAAAACCTATGCCACCAATATTTTTGTATTGTGATAGTGAAGCAACTCTATCATGGGCCTATAGCCATGTCTATAATGAAAAGTCCAGGCATATAAGACTAAGACATAGTTGTGTCAGGCAGTTTAATCACAGGAGGTGTGATTACCATTAGTTATGTAAAGTCAAGTGAAAACTTGGATGACCCCTTAACAAAGGGACTTGCAAGGGATTTGGTGTGGAAAACATCAAAGGGGATGGGTCTTAAGCCCACTTAACATAATCACTCCTGGTGAAAACCCGACTTAACGCTTAAAGAAACATCGAGTCTTGAGTTCAATGAGCCCAAGTACACCATACGTCATGATTGCAAGCACTTAGTTTTATTTCATTTTCATCCCAAGGTTGAAGTGCTTGGTACCTGTAATGTGAAAAGAAGAGGATAAGTTAGCAAACTCTTAATAAGCTTACAACTGGGTTATTAGGGTATTGAAAATTATAGGGGTACTTTTAGTAAGTTTACCTATGTGAGTGTAGAAGGTGGTGCCACTTCTTATGAGTCCAAGGGCATGACTCTAGAGCGCTCATGAAACAGGATATAAACACAAGGCCAATCCACGTGTCAGTTTGTTTGAATACTTGAGGTAACCTGTACTGTGCGTGAGACATGTCCAGTTAGTCGTATATAATTACTAGTTCAAAGACAAGTTTACTATGCCATCTTGACTAACTTTGAGATGTCATCACTAAGTGAATGATTCAAATCGTAAGATATCTTCACCTATGCATAAGGCTGCCAAATGAACCAAGAGTCATCATCTGGTATTTTGAAAATAGTGGGAGAATGTTGGGGAATTTTCAAAATGGGTTTTCAAAATTTGTTGTTTAGTTTTTGGGTGTTTTCAAAACCTTCGTTATTTTTCTTTAGAAAGCTTGAAATAAGCTTGGGGACTTGGTCCCACATCGGAAAGAGAGGAATACATTGAGCACTTAATAAAGTGCTACATGGAATATTCCTTTGAATATGGTATTGTGGGATGGATGCTCGTGTGCATGCACTCACACCGCAAGGATGGTGCTTCTCACCATCCGCACACGCACATACACACGCGTTGGTGCGTGGCGTAGGCAATGGGCTATGTGGCATTTGACGGCGCACTTTGCACTTTGCATGGACGCATCGGCACCATAAGGGCACTTTTCTATTTGCATCGGACAGGTTGGAGAGATGATGTAAATCCAATGTAGCATAGGTAACATGGACTACAGTCAACTCCACATGGTAGTGATGTGGCGTTTGTTAGCGATGAGTCAACCAACCGATCAAACAGTTATGTGTCCGATCTAGAGTGGTTTGATCATAGCCTTTGATTGGAGATGCACGCGATCGTACGAATGAGATGGCACCCGATCGTGATCAGGTATGATCAATCAAGGCATCTATTCGGTGTGAGAATGATCTACATCATAGATCGTCGATCCAACGGTTAGATCTGATCGGATGTGATCAAGGGACATGGCCATTCGATCAAATACGTCAAGGCCTATAAATAGGTTGCGAAATCAGTCATTTCAATCATACAAAAATTCAGAAATCATTCCTACAATTCTCTCTTTCTCCCTCTTGATTCAAAGTTTTCGATCAAGAGTTTCTTAAGCAAGTTTCTGCTTTTCTTATTGGTAATCAAATTCTACAAACTTGATTATCAGTGTCTTGGTTTTCTTGATTATATCAAGAGTATTCTGATCAACTATCGTCAGTCCAAACGACGGTAGACTTGATCTTTAGATTAGGCATCATTGTATCCTGGAGGCGAATTTGCTGTAACCTCCTGCACATCTTTTAGTGAGTGCAAATATTGTCTTTAGGAAAGCGACTAAGTAACACGACTTGAAGCACCAAATTTTTGTTCTACATAGACAAGATCATTGCCAAGTTTTGAAGACACAAAGACCGCCAACTGAAGAATTCAAGACAAATTGTTCCAACAACAAACTCTGAACATGTTATTTTCCTCTAGTAGTATGCATGAATGGTGTTCTTCACCGGAGAAGCTACATTATTCCTATGCTAGACTATGAAAGAGTGGTCGGATTGGTTTGCATTTCATTTACTAGCTTGCTTGCCCTGTCTTATGAAATTTCAAATGCCTTGCCTTCCTCAAAATGTCCAGATTGATTGCAAATTTGGTCATCTGAGTTTACACTCTGTTTGGATTGAGATATGAGAATAAAAAAGAAATTATTAGAGTTTCTCACCTAGGTGAGAAATGAAAAGAATTTTTTGTAATTTCTCACCTTCTTGTTTGGATGGACTATCACTCTGTTTGGATGGAGGGGTTTGATGAGAAAAGAAAAGAAATGCTGAAAATAAGAAACCCATTCACATGTTTGGATGGTTAAATATGTGAGAAAGGATTCGAGATGGTAAGAAAATGATTCTCACCAAACCTATGTTTTGTTTCTCACCAAAAGTGGTGAGATTTGATGAGAAAGGAATTGGGTTTAATGAAAGTTTTCTAAAATACCAAAACTACCCTTATAAAAAAAACATAACTTGTTAATATGGAAGGTTATTTTGGTAAAATAAAATACACTTGTTTTCTTTTCTCTTATTTACTTTATCCAAACAAGATATGTGAGAAACCACATTATCTTCTCTTTTATTTATCCAAACATAATGGTGATAAACCATGATCATTTCTTTTCTTTTCTCACCTTGGTGAGAAACCATAATAATTTTTTTTTCTCACCTCACCTCACGATCCAAACAGAGTGATGACCATGATTAAAAGAGTAGTTTTGGTTTCTCCCCAAATCTCACTACTTTGGGTGAGAAACAAAACTTCAATTTGGTGCGATTTGGCTTTCTCACTATTTCTTTTCATTTCTCACCACATTAATCATCCAAACAAGTGATGAGAAATGTCATTCTCTCCATTTCTTTTATTTTCTCACCAAACCCCTCAATCCAAATGGAGTGCCAATTTGGTTTGGACTATTCTGATGATCATGACTGATTGTTCATACTCCATGGGATTCCATCCCAACCCTTTGGACCACTAGTTGAAACGGAGTTTTAGGAGGCTCCCAAAAAGAAAAAAACTGTATGCTCTCCAATTTGATGTCTAATAGAGAGATTAATAAAGGTTTGTTGTGCTGATAGTGGTATCAGTTTCTGTGTATGCTTATCCTATAGATATAATAATAATAAAAAGAAAAAAAAAAAGAGGGCAACAGAAGATGAAAATGACAATTTCTAAAGTTGGCGTTGAGAGGGATGACTTGATATGTGTTTGGAACTTCTTCAGTTTTAGTGATAACAGCTTCGTCAAGCCCTCTGAGAGAAGATATCAGGCCATTACCCAATCAAAAATGGACACACACTGGTCCATGAATTTTATTATCAAAGATTCCCAATATCTGGTTGTTCCAAGTTCCACCTAGAAGGTACATTTAGAATTTAAGGTAAGATGTTTTTCTAAGTATTGAACAAATGAGGGGGAAAGGAAGACTTATTGCAAATAATGACACAGTGAGGGGGAAAAGAAGACTTATTGCAAATAATGACACTGTGGGAAAAGAAGACTTGTTGCAAATAATGACACAGTGAGGGGGAAAGGAAGACTTATTGCAAATAGTAACTGTGCTGCAAGAGTTCCTGAATGTTAATTTATAAATTGAATAAATAATGGCGAAACGGATGAACTCCATGAATTTGGACATTAGACCATCAATGGAAGGCCTCAAACTTTCTTTTTTGTTCACCTCTTTATTTTCCATCTTAATAATGTCCAGCGCAGTAGACTTAGGATTGGTTTGGGATATTCTAAAAAAGTGCACTTTTGACTTATTGGCTTATATAGGTTGGGTTTGATGTGATGTGTTAGAGATGTGATATGATTTAAATAAGATGATGTGACTTAAATAGGATAGTGACTTTTTGACTTTTTGTATTATTTAGTTTATACCAAATAAGCTTTAATAACTAAAACCAGTTCATTACAGGCAGCCATACCATAGTTTCATCTGGTGGGAGCTTTGAGATGGGATTTTTCAGCCCGGGCAATCCCCAGAATCAATACTTGGGAATATGGTACAAGAAAATATCTTCTAGGACTGTTGTATGGGTTGCCAACAGAGAAATCCCACTCATCGATTCATCAAGTGTCTTAAAGGTAATTGACCCTGGAATTCTGGCCCTTCTCAATGGTATCAGCAATGTCATTTGGTCTGCCAATGTGACAAGATGCACAGTACAGGATCCTATTGGTCAACTTTTAGAGTCAGGAAATCTTGTTGTGAGAGATGCCAATGATGACAACCTAGAGCATTTTCTGTGGCAAAGTTTTGATCATCCATGTGATACTCTTTTACCAAGCATGAAACTTGGAAAAAACTTTGTAAGTGGCTTAGAGCGGCACCTTTTATCATGGAAGAGCTCTGATGATCCAAGTCAAGGTGATTTTGCATTTCGGTGTGATCCCAAAGGATATCTACAACTTATTCTGAGCAATGGTTCCATTCAGCTGTTCCAGACTGGACCATGGAATGGTCTTGGATTCAGTGGGACTCCAAGCCTGAAACCAAATTCCATCTACACATATGGATTGGTTTTCACCAAGGAGGAGGCGTATTTCAGTCATAATCTCGTTAGCAGCTCAGTTGTTTCAAGGTTGGCTCTAAGTCATGATAGCATTATGCGGCGCTCGACATGAATTGATCGAACCCAGGAATGGGTCCTTTACCTGACTGCACCGATAGATAATTGTGATTATTATAAACTGTGTGGTCCATATGGTAGATGTAACGTTGGAAACTCGCCAAGATGTGGTTGCTTAAGTAAATTTGTGCCCCGGAATCAAACAGAATGGGGAAATGGAGATTATTCTAATGGGTGTGTTCGGAGGACACCATTGGATTTCCATAATGGAGATGGGTTTCTCAAATGTTCGCGATATAAAATGCCAGACACACAGAACTCGTGGTTTGACAGGAGCATGACCCTGATGGAATGTGAGACAGTGTGCTTGAAAAACTGCTCTTGTATGGCTTACACAAATTTAGACATGAGAGGAGGTGGAAGTGGCTGCTTGCTTTGGTTTGATGAATTGATTGATATGAGAGAGTTCAGTGAAAATGGGCAAGACATTTACATAAGGATGGCTTCCTTGAGTTAGGTAAGAATTCATACCAAACACATAAGACTAGTGAACATAGATTATACTATGCAAGAACCATGTAGTCAACTATACTGAACATTTACATTTCTTCCTTATAAAATTCCTCACTACAGGTTAGCAAAAAGAGAGTTGTTTCATCTTGAACGTTGATTTCTATTGTCGGTGTGTCTTGAATTCGATCCTAATGATGCTCATTACCCGTCTCCATGCACATGCCCGACCCAGTAGGTCTGTTTGTATTTGAGTTTATTTTGGCCCTGTTTATTATTTTTGGATCTTTGTTTATATTGGATTATTATTGAGCACTAGGCATTCTGATGATCAAAGTTTTTAAAGACAAACATGTAACATGAGACATTTTTTCTCTTGTGAAACGAGAGGTAAGCACTTCAAATTTGAAATTTTTATATTTAGTAAATAAATAAAATATTTTAAAGTAGCAAAAAAAATTAAAATTAAATATGAATGTGTAGATACTTTTTTTTCTCAAGACCTCGAACATTTCATTGTAGACAATAAGGAAACTTACCCTCATCGAAAGTGAAATTGACATCCTTTAACTTTAGTTGTCAAGTTTCTCACTTGAACCATAATTTTATTTTTTCTTAATTGGTCATTTACTTGATTTTTTTTCTATGAATATAATTGCAAAAGAGGTTATTGTTTTCTTATGTTTAAACCATCTACTAGATTAAGTTTAACAAGAGCCTATGACAAGCTCTTATTATGCGTAATCCTCATATACTTACGCATAAAAGGTGTACAAGGTGCAATTGAGGCGTAGACCTTAGACTATGATTCTCAAGTATTTAGGGAGTATCGTCTCAAAATCGAAACCTCAATGCATTTTGCTCATGATTTTAAAAATGAAGTGCAATTGTTATGTAAAATTGTTACGTAATTATGTAGGCAGTCACTGCCACCTGTTACGGCTGCTATGGCGGTGTGATTGAATTTCACAAGTGTAACCGCCGTTAGTAACAATGGCGACACGGTCAGCTACATTTAAAAGTCATTTTTTTCATCATTTTCTTCTTTTTCAATTTCTATGTTTATTTATTGACTCAACATTAAAGATTGAGCTTAATTTTTATATGTAGTTATATGTTATGTTACTTCTATAACTTGATAATTTTAATTTGTTTAATAAAATAACAATGGCACTCAAGTTTATTTGTTGAACATACATAATCTACAAATTTGAAGCACAACATAACATAATATTATAAGTCTATAACTATTAATAATAAAATAAATAACAGTAAAGTACTAGTGGTGCATTATAAATTTGTGGCGCATGAAATCATTAAATATTAACCAAGCGAAGTGTCTCCTACGGTTGGGAGTGGAATGAGAGACAAAACTTAAAGAGCTTGTAAGGATAGGGTGGGAGCTCAACTCCGCAGGTGCTAATCTAACTATTAACCACTTATTTTCGGTTTCAATAAGTTTGCATCTTCTTTATTGATTGGACATTTCATACGGGGTGGGTAAATTGGACTCTTTACGGGAACAAACAACTCTTCCACTTGAGCTCCCATGCTTGAAGCAGTTTGGATGGAAGATTGAGCATCTTTGCCCGGCTTTTAAATGATTTTAATTAAATTCCTTCGGTATTAGGTCAAGCTGGCCACAACTGGAAGGCAGGAAAGAGGGTTGTAGTCATCTCAGTAATCTTGACAGGAACACTTGCCTTGGGCATTTCATCGTACATTTGGAAGAAAAAGTGGCAGCCAAAGAGAGAAGGTAATAAAAATTAGTCATTGATGCTTCAGTATCTCACGTTTGTAGGTGTGCTTGCTTGAACGTTTACCTGTTTTGAACAAGTTGTTTCGTTTACATGTTCTCAACAGCCCTCTTCTGCAGGGCAAATAAGAAATCATCCTGGAGCAGCTTACTACAAAGAAGCCAAGAATGAAGATATAGAATTACCGTTATTTCACTTTTCTACAATCACTAAAGCTACCGAAAACTTTGCAATTAACAATAAGCTTGGATAGGGCAGATTTGGACCTGTTTACAAGGTAAAAATATAACTACACTTCCAGTTTTCTGAAAACTAACCGATGCCCAACCACATGAACTGTTGATAGTAGATTGCCTAATTCAATGACTGACACTGTTGAAAATCAGGGTTTTAGAGGCGTTTAAAAAACGCCGCTAGAAGTCCAAAAAACGCCGTCAAATCTTTTTGTGACGTTTAGCACCAAACGCCGAAGATGCGGCCGTCGCTATAACTCTATGGCGCTTCAGAAACGTCACTATATTACTATAAAGCGCCGCTAAAAGTTCTTCTAATTGTAACATGACGTCACATGCTATTTAGCAACGTTTTTAAAACGCTGCCGTGTCTCTTTTTCCTAACTATTTAGCGACGTTTTTAGAAATGCCGTGATAGCCTTTTTTTTAAAAAAAAATTGTGCTAATTTTTTGTTATTGAACTTAAAAAATACCTATAATAAAACTAAAATAGTCCACAATCATTGTGCAAAAAAAAAACATTCACACAAATCAAACGGTGTATGTTACACAAAAACATTTCATATTTCTCTCACCCTAGAAATCTTCATATGGTCGTTGGAGAGTTATTGAGTTAAGAATAAGTTATCAATACAAATAAACTCTCTATTTCAAATACAAGAACCAACAATAAAAATTAAAAAATAAAAAAAGTCATAACAACTGATAGTAATATTAGTCCTCGGACTACCAGGTCACCAACTAAAGTAGCAAACACCAGACTTTCTTGTTCATCAGCATTCTTCTTTAGATCTGCCAATCTGACGGCACTAACAAAAGCAATCTTGCATACCACCACACATTCTGGATCAGGAGAACCACCAGGGACAAGCTGCATTACGCACAAAATGTTAGAATTGTAGAATACAAAATCAAGAGGACTCAGCTTCTCAAACAAAATCAATACGACACAGACACCATGCAAAAGAAATTTAGGGATTCAAACGGCTATTTTGGCAAAAAATCATTACAAGATCTTGAACTTCCATCACAACATAAAAGCAGAATCATAGTACCTATGAAGCTTGCTGAAATAAGAAGCTAGTTTGCTCTATCCCACTAATCTAGAGAAACGCAAGGCAATCAATATTCCAGCATGTATAGAAAACCATTAGCAGTAATAAAACATATCGTACTAAATAATCCAACGCAACAGCAGTAATAAAACATATCGTACTAAATAATCCAACGCAACAGATAACTAACTAAATCAATAAAAGCAGATTTCAGATTTCAGAGATGCCTGAGTTTCTCGTTAGTTAACATGAGTAATCAACAAAGTCAACCGCTTCAAATTTCAAAGATGCCTCAGAAGATTAGCTTCAGGTCTTGTAGATCTAAATCATTTGTTTGGAGATCAAGTCCATCATCTCATTCGAATCAATCTCGCATAAATCTGAATCATGGATAAGATTTCAACAACTACAAAGGACAGAGTATATCTGATCATGGTGGATTTGGCAGTGTTGTTTAGGTCACTGGAGTCAGATCTGAACCAAGATGGAAATGCATAGGGAGTAAACATGCATTGTGGTTTATGAATTATTGGGTGAATGATACAAGTAAACACAATGAGAAATATAAAACAAGTGTGGGGACTGGGGAGTACTTAAGTAGAAGGAAAAAATGCAATCAGCTTGCATTATAGAGGCCTCAAAAGCCTGGATTCATGGTCACTGTCCAGCTCATTTTCTCAGCTAGCCTGAGTTGCAAAATCACCCTCCCAAGTCCACAACTGGTATTGCCGCCAACAGTCCTAGGTATGACTTGGTTGCTGCCACAGCTTACGTTATCGAGATCTTTAACCAATATTCTGATAACAGTCTAATCCAAATTAAATTATCTTATGAACAATCCAAGAGGGGCTTATGGCATCACCAATAGAAATAGAGCACAAGACTTAAAATTTATGGTTAGAAATTGAGCTATTATAATGATTTAAAGTTTAGATGGTACAGAGGGATCTCAGTCCTCCCTATCATATGGTATTTTATTTTATTTTATTTTATAGTTAGTATATAAAAAAATAAAAGATTGCAGCCAACAAAAATAAAAAACAGAACAAAAAATATTTACCTGTTTTGTCACAAAATACAAGGCCAATAGAGGAGCTTTATCTAGATAGTTCAACCCATGCTTCCTGCTGTCCAATATCTAGATTTGACAAAACAATATATCTCCATGATATAAAAAATATTGGACAAGGAACTCACAAATCACAAATGCATCAAACAAAGGAACTGAATTGATCTAAATAATCTATTTGGTATTTATTTAACTGCACATCATCATCCAGTGCTACTATTAAACCCCATGAGAAGTATTATAAGATATTCTTGCATGGAGCAGCAGTCTATTATCTGGTTACCAACATACCATGCTTCAGAAATGTAAACTACGTTTGCAAAATTAGAAGAAAGTGAAAAAGATAGCTTACAACACAACTATGTTCATGCTAGCAGTGCTGAAAAAATTGGCACAGAATATAGGTAGATCAAATTTTGGTTTTGGGAACACAGCAAGATCCAAAACCTGCATTTAGTTTATTTGAAACTGAATCAAGAAAGGGTAAAACATTCAGATTGTTATAATAAATCACAGAATCTCTAGGAGACAATAAAGCATGAGGTCTTAACAGTATCAGCATCTCAAGGATTCTTATCCTAATTTTTTATTGTTGACACTAACTGCTTAACCAAGGTCCAGATTGCACCAATTGAGATCATGCAAATCAAAAAATTCAAGCTTCTAGTGTTTCTTCCCCACCCACACCCCCGTTTTGTATTTATTCCACTTCTTACTCTTCTTTCCTCCTTGTTAAACCATAGTTATCAACGATTATTCTCACAAATCCTGAAGACATCTAGAGCAATACTTATTTACATTTCTAACTAGTACAAATTCATTTACCAAACTCATTGGAAAAGAGGCATTGCAGTATTTTGCAAGCACTAAATTATATCATGCTGTAGCTCAAGAAACTCCCTCAGGTAGACTTCAGATATTTTTTTCTTTTAAAAAAAAATGGAGGAGAATAAGAAAAATGGAGACGCTAAGAAATATAAGCAAGGGAAAGAATCAGAAAACTCCAGTTTTCAAAGGAAAAATGTCAATACCTTCCAACAACAGATTTGGCATTTGAAACATAAGCAAGGGTCACTTTCAATGATCAAAGACACTAAGAAATAAAGGTAGTTCACATCCCATACCAAAATACAAAAAGGGAAAATTCACTCCCTGTGAAGATCCATAATTACTCCCCCATCATATGATGCTCAATTTAGTTCATCTCACCAAATTAAATTGTCAGCATTAATGGCAATATAGATGGCAGTCGTCATCAACCCGCAAGAAAGGAATGCAAAATTTATAGCAATATCATTTAGTACCCAAAAAAAATTATAATTACAGTATTTTGAATGCTAGGCTATGGCTATGACAATGCGAGAGTGAAAGATTGTGGTCAAAGACTAGTGATCTTGACAATGGGTTGACAAGTCTGAATGTCAAGTGTAAGATGTGCAAGTGCAACATGGTAGGGCACAGCTATCCAAAAGCTAGTGTTAAGGTAGATGAAGTGAATTATGCCAGAGGACAACACCTGCATTGTTTCATTCCCTTCAACACACAAACTACGTAGGAGTCTGATCTTGGGAGCTTAGAAAGATAAAATCTGAAGCTCTGTTTTTCCATCCATTGGAATCGCGGAACTGAAATTATCCTGATAATGTAACAATTTAGATACTCATTAATAGCAGGTATTGGGGAGAGAGGGGTTTGTACAGAATTCACAAGTCACGGCAATAGCAAATTGCAAATTACGCCATAGATCATACTTCTATTACATATCCACAAAATTACACATTTAAGTTGATTAAATATAAATCTAAATAATGCTAAAAAAAACAATATTAAGTCTAAAAGGAAAGTTCATTAGGAATATCAACTCTACGTTCAAATGAACTCTCTGTAAATTAGACTTAACTCGTAACAACTCTACGTTCAAAAGAAAGATGCCTTCATTCGAATGAATGTTACAGAAACATTGTTACAATCTAATGCAAGAAGTTGTGTCCAAATGAACTTAGCCACATGTGTTGGAACAAGCAAGCTTTTGAAGCTACATTCGTTTCAACCAACTCACAATGATCACATAGAGCACTGCTTTTGAAGCTTTTGAAGCTTTTAAATTGCTTCTTAATTTAAATAGCCAGTTAAATAAATACCAAATAGATTATATGTGTCCTTACCTCATTTATAGCAAGACTTTCTCAAGAGCTCATATCAAATTTCAACAAATTTCATTAATCATATTACAAGTGTACACATCCTTACCCTATTTATAGCAAGACTTTCTCAAGAGCTCTCATATGCTTCCACATAATGTGAGAATTTTAGAACATAGATTCCAAAAAAAAAAAGGATGAGTTTCCACTTCTTGAATCCTGCAACTAAATAAAATATTTTGTACATCATTTAACAACAAATAAGATCAGGGTGTAATCTCACTTGTTGCGAGTTCACCTGCCCCTACCACTTAATGTGTAACGCCCTCAAAATAATAACATTTAACCCATCAGATAAGACAAGCATTTACATATAAACTAACCACATTCCTTTATTTCATTGAGTTTCATTACATAAGTATTACATGTTAACATCAAAACAAAATGCCCTACGGGCTTACAGCTTTCCAAGTTAACACTTGGTTACAACAAAAGAGTACTAACTCGTTTACACATTAAGCCCTTGGCTTGAAGTTACATGTAATACATCAAAAGTAAAACAACTACACTATGTCCGCCTCTAGCCTCCCAAGCTATGTCCTTGGAGGTGGCATGCATCCTGTACCTGAAAATGATATTCCCACATAGGGTGAGCCACAGCCCAGTAGAAATACACTAAACCAACCATGAACAATGACTAAAATATTAGCAATTGAGGTACTAAATCCTGCGCGGTAACAGCATACACACGCCCCGTAGGCCCCTGGTCTACCTACTCACCTCTCGGAGCAAAAGACTGCTGCACAGACTGGGATGACGAAACTCCCGGATTGGCCCTCGAGGCCTGCACAGACTGAGCTGGC